TCAACGGACGGGGGTCCGACGTAATGATACGTAGTCAGTTCCATCGGCGTGAGGGAGGAAGGCATGGCTCCTCATCCCCGATCCGCAGCGAAGTTGTACCCAATACCCGGCGAACAAGCGCTCCAACGACCTCGAGCCCTGTCCCCGCAGCCAAGCGCTCCCAAGAACTTGCGGCGCCGAGTACATTCCCTTCCGCGCAGGGGCACCGCTTGCACCCCGCTGCCCCCTCGCTATCCATTCTACCCAATATCTCCGCGCGAGGACGGATTTCGATCCTGGCTTCCGCCTGCGAAGCGACGAATGCGTACCAGGCGAAGAACGTGGCCGTGAAGCGGCCTAGAATCAGCACGGGGTACAGCGCCGTCTGCTGATACCGCGGGCGAATGCCTTGCACTCGAGGACGCGCACGAGCCGCGATACGTCGCCTTCGGCAATGCGCGCGCAAGCAATGCTGTCCGCAGCGCGCAGGGAGCGGACCGGTGAATGGGGGAGGACAGGGCGTGATGTACGGTGAAGGTAGCAGCCAATGGCGGAGGGGCTCGAAGGGACGAGCATCATGCTGGCACTCCTCTGCCTCTGCGTAAGCCGCGCCCACGCTGCGGGCCGATCCCTTCATCACCGTGCATGTACGCACCCCGAGAGATGAGGGATGCTGATTCCATTCGGAGGCATGTCGACGTGGATTGAGAACGACGAGGATCGCGCCGAGTGGGAATGGAGCAGGGCACTGAAATGAAGGGCGGCTTCGGAGGCAGGTCTCGCATCTCGCATGCTCGCAGCGGACAAAGGAGTGACGTGGCGAAGGTGTTCAAGACGCAAAACGCGCGGAGGCGGACAAGAGACTTGCGTGATAGCTGCCGACGACGCGCCTAAAACAAGCCCGTGGGCTCGTCTGGCGAGGTGGCGGGTACCACGCGCAATACCGCGTGCGTGGGTAGCGGTTCCATCGGCGCGTGGAAGGGTAGCGCAGTGCACCTCGAAAGAGGGCGGACGGAAGAAGCTACCGAGTCCGCCCACCAATATCCACGCATGGGCGGATGCGCAGCAGAAGGAGCAGGGGCGTCCATCTACCCGATTTTCGTCCCGCTCCCTGTCCGCACGCATGAGCCAGAGATACGCGCTACAGGAGCTCGGCGGGCACCGTCCGCGTTGCCGCAAGCGCCACGACTCAGACGGCTCCACCTCACGTCTGTGCAGGCCGCGCCCTCGTTATGCGACGACCCTTCCATCTCCGTCCGTGCTCAGTTGTAGCCCCGCCCCCGCACGCACGTCCGCTCCAGCTCCTGCCCGTCGTGGCACAGACGCTGACTCCGACTGCCCGCCCGCCTAGCAAGACTAAAAGCCTGCAGTAAGACGACTTTGAGCCAGAGGAATCTCCGGACGCTGGCACCAGGAGGATTTGCGAGTACAGCGCCAGGGGTGGATGGCGCGGGCGGAGTGAGATCCGACGGACGCGGGGAGAGATGAAGGCTGCGATCGCGCTCCGGGAGTACTGCCCGTGGCGCGCGGGTGGCCTGGGACACATGCGAGAGCAAGCCGCTACGTGCATTGCGGACGTCCCTTGAGGAAGACGCGCATCACGCCGCTGGGAACGGGACCTCTCCTTCTATCTGAGGTATCTCCACGCCAGGCCGGCCACAATCCTCCCCAGTAACTCAGCCCCGCTCGCCCGTCCTTCTTTCCATATTCATGGTGCAGCCTGAGGTGTACCCTAGCTCGACATACGTCGCTGTACAGACCCGGCTCGACCGGCCGCGGCGGGGATGCGAGCTGAAGAAGGTGGGTAGAGGGACGCCGCGCCAAATGCGCAGGGGCGGAGCGGGGCACATCGATGAAGGGGGAGCCGCCGGCGCGATACGAATTGTGTGGGGCGTCTTGTGAGTTGCGTGAAATAGAGCAGGGTGGTATGCGCTGAGGACGGCGAGCCCGCCGGTGGTCCAGCTCGGCGCGGAAAACCATCTTCCGCACGGCGGAAGCTCCCCTCCGTGCGCGCACGACAACACGCAAAGCGTGCTCTAAGAGTCGGTGTATAGGAGCATGCGCCAGCGGGACCCCAGACCGCGATGCGAATGACTTCAGCGAGAAAGCTAGTCGCATCCGCGACTCGTGCGCCCCATCGCTGGCTGCGTCGAGGACACAATGCCACGACTGCGAACTGCCTCAAGATCTGAATCCGTGCGGAATTTCATCTGCCGAGGCCAGGGACACGTCATCGCGGGCGTTGCGAGGCATAGAAGGAGGGGACAAGCCCGTAGGGCATTATTACTACTGGCATAGGCGCGCTTGCATCCAGGCCGGAGTGTGGAGGCAGTCGTGAATGCGCGAAGAGGGTATTTGTCGAGGATGGCGATTCGGCACCGAGCGTCTCAAAGCGGTGTTTTTCTCCTCCGCGCGCTCACGCAACGATGCCCTCTTCTACCGGGATGGGCTTGGTGTGGAGGGCGCTCCGCGGGAGGGGCCGCTGGTGGTGGTGCGGAGCAGTAGTGGGGTTCGTGCGGAGCCGGGTGGGAACGCAGGGCTGAGGAGGATGGCATATAGGCGAGGCATCCAAGCTACCGCAGGGCGGCGTGGGGGGACAGGTCGCTGAGGAAGGCCAATGGTCTTGCACCTCTTGCCTGTAGACGGTCTTGTAGGATTAACATGACTGGGCTGAATCCAGAAGCTCCGCAAGTAGGCGGATGGCTGCGTTGAGAGGACGAGATGAAAATGGAATGAGGTGGATTGCGACGCTGAATACGCACCTTTCGTATCCGATTCATCCATTCGACTCGTGGATGCTCTGACATACAAGTAAGGACCCCCACCCCCGCGTGATGATGTGCCCGTACAGCGGTGAGGAAGGAAGCTGCGCGTCTCCCCTGATGAGATGAGATGAGGAAGGTGTGGAAAGCGAAAATGCTGGCACGCGCACCTTTCGTATCCTATCCGGACTGAAAATGGCTAATGACCAGGCGGCGAGCGCCAAGGGTACCGAGTTGTGGGTGGGACGCTTACAGTCCATGGGATCCGGAATGTACACACACGATCTAACAGCGGATCCGCGTCAGAATCAGCGAAAAAAAAGGCGATTCTGATAGCGCACGGAAGATGTCAGACAAGAACGTCGTGGGTGGTGGAGTATGGTCTATGCAGAGCTAGGCAGTCATCTCGCGGACTCTGAGCTTTCTGCTACAAATACGAGCATCAGGTACATATATTGATTGACCTTCGACGAAAACGGACAGCGCACGGTGTACGCAATGATTACGACGATGAATACATCCCTCAGCTTCGCGACCTCTGAAGGTAACGCCTCCCGCGCTCTGAAGCTATCCCGGTGGTCAGCCTGCGAGCGTCTCCCCTTCCCGTTCCGCCTTGAAATCCAAGTCGAAGAAGCAGGAACGGAGCCAGTTCAAAAAGGTCGCCATGCAGATTTATTCTGTTGCCGTAGGATAGTCCTAGCACAGTGGCAACTTGCAAGCCGACAGGGAGACTCAGAGTTCTGTCGTCACGGTCGAAAAAAAGGAACAGGTGCACGTGACATCAAACCTCGTCCCGAACATCCACCTCAGTTTTCCGCCAATGGGTGCATCTTTCGTGTCGCATTCTTACTTTACGCGCAAAATTAGAGTGCCTAGGCGCCGTATCTTTTTTCCCCCTTCGAAGCAGGCCTCTTGCCGGTAGAATCGATCTCTCGTCTCAAAGAACAAATGACACTGAAGTCGAACTGCAACTTTGAACTAATGGGCAAGCGTTGCTGTCAGTAATGGCCGCAATCCATGGATCCTCCGCGACATGTCTCTACGACTGTCCGACCGCGAACGAAAGTCACCCGCGGATTCACTTCGCTTCCCTCCCGTCTTCACCCTTCACAGTGCACATTTCTATGGATATGAAGCCATTGTCGACCAAGGGAAGGTCCTTCTCTAAGCGTAAGGGATGCTTCTGTTCTAGCTACGAGAAAGACGGGGGTTCGACTCCTCCCGATGGCATAATGGCCTATTGGTCTTTTTATGGCATTGCACCCCTCGTTCTCCACCCGGCCTTCGCGAAAATCACTAGGTCTCGACCTCCATACTGCGGAATGGTTCGCTCACATAAATCGGCGCGCACAGAGGAAATGAAGCCGTCGTTGACCAGTGGCGGTCCTTCTCTCTTAGTGGCTTAGAAGAGGATCAAATGAAGCCGTAGGGTAGCCACTTCAGCTACGAGGAAGACGGAGGTTCGACTCCTCCCGATGGTGTCGTCGTCGATAACTGTCTTTTTTGTGGCATTGCACCCTTTGTTCTGGACCCGCCTTCGCGAAGAGCATTAGGCCTCAACTTCCTACTGCACACTCGCTCGTTCCATCCGTGGAGGTATGTACGCAGTCCTGCACCTTGGCTCACTTAACGCGGCGCACAGAGGGGAAATGAAGCCGTCGTCGACCAGTGGCGCTCCTTGTCTCAGTTGCTTAGAGCGGCTCCAGAGATGCGAAAAAGCTGGGGGTTCGACTCCCCCCGACAGCATGACGCTCTAAGTCAAATGTCTTTTTGCAGCTGTGGCGCGCCGCTGTCTGAGCCGATCTTTGTACGTACGCAACCTAATATCTGAGTTCTTTGTAGGATGATCTGTGCCCGCCAGCACTTCTACTTATTCGTCCGCCGAGAGCACGGTACGCACGAATCGATATCCTGCCACCTTTATACCTCACCTGACCCAACGCAGATACAGGCAGGAAGCCGTCGTTGACTAGTGGAGGTCCTTCTCAAATGATACATGTTCCAGGTTCGATATAGCCCCGAATACGAGAACGCTGGGGGTTCGACTCCTCCCGACGGCTTGCTCGAGCTGCGGTTAAAGTTTTTCGGCAGTAGCGCGAATCTCCGACTGTGCTCTCTACAACCTCCATTCTTCTCTTCAATCTTCAATCTTGGGTGTCCGCGGTATCTTCATTATTATTATTTTCATCCGTGCTAGTACGCACATTCCTTGCCTAATGTATCTCACTGAAAGTATAACCCACACATACAGGGAAGGAAGCCGTCGTCGACCAGTGGAAGGGCCTTCTCGAAATGTAAACCTATTCTGGTCGTTGCTACAAGAGAAAGACGGGGGTTCGATCCCTCCCGACGACATAAATGGGCTTGAGATGCATTTTTATTATGGGATTGTGCGTCCTACGATCTTGGCTCCACTTTCAACCTAATATCTGAGGGACGAGATTCCGGAATATTTCAACCAACAAGATAAGGGTTTGCTTGTACGCTTTTTCGGTGGTGGTGGCTGGCAGCGTCCGTTTTGAGACATGGCATCTGGATAGCGCGCTCACGTGCCACAGGGCGGGATTGTTCGGAACAGAAGCGGGGAATGCCGAACGAAGAAAGGAACGCGCAGAATCTTAATCGGGTTTATAATTCGATTAATTTGTACCGAGGAGAATTAAACATTATTTATTTCCAGACCCTCTCCAAGTCTGCTATGTACCACACTGGCATCTAAACCCGGAGCAGGCAATTCATGTATATGCGTGTCGGCGCAATCACCCAGGCCCTCGAGAGGCATGTCATCTCGGGGTATCGAAAGATTCATCCTGCTGAGGATCCCCACATCCACCTGTTCGTGGAGGTTAAGCATTAGGCGTGACATCATCGTCACGGAGATGCTGGAGCGGGAAGTTCTCATTCAGCGTCGAGCTGAGGTAGTTATGCTGTGGAGTGCCACTTACCAGCTAGCGAACGTCGCAAACGAGCCGCGGAAAAGAGGCTATTTTACTGTCAGTCAGTGTTGGCCCGGACGAAGAGAATGGATGGAGCCGTACTCCGCCAAGCTAAAGAACAATCTCTTCAGCGGGAGGAAGACCGCCCAATGAAATGCCGTACATAGAATGTGCCGATATTCGACAGATTGGCGAGGGCCATAATACTGCTCTTGCTAAGAGAAACTCGAGTAGACAGGTAATAGCATCACTCACCCGAAATACAGGGCACCTACAGACGTACGCGTCAGAATGCGTTTATTTATGTAGCTTGGATGAAAAGGGAAATGACCGCACCGTCCCGCACGATCACCCTATGGAGCGGCATATTCGCGAGCGGGCCCATGCGACGTGTCGTCGCGTACGCGTTGAAGACCGTCAGCCCGAAGATCGTGGCATCGAAGGCGAAGAGGCCCTCCCACGGGATCGCCAGTCCTAAAGTTCATACTGGTGAGTAGTTTATCGGAGAGAGCGCCGGCACTGACGTCTGGCGCTGGACGGGGACATCATAATTAGGCACTAGATCGACGCGTAGCGGGTGTTTCGTACGTGGACTGTGATATTTCTACATGGCATCCACCAAGGGATGAGGGAGACGTTTCTTGGCCATTCATTGACCACTGCAGTGTGCATCGTCAGGGGAATTTTTCTCTGAGAAATTTAAATGAACGACGTACCACGCTAAGTCCTATCACGCCCGCCCCAATCGCAAGCAACAGAGACGCGACTCGTAAGCTGCGACTGTACAGTGCGTACACCCGCAAGATCATAATAACTGTGAACCCGAGGTCAGCACAACACGAAACACCCCGCAAAATCCACCCCATACGTACGCGACACCAGCAGCTGCGTCGCGAACAGCAGAATTTCGCGCAGCAAGCTGTACCGCATACACAGCTGGCATTTAGATCACATTACTGTTTTTCATTTATTTAGAGTGGAGAATGAATTGATCACCTGCGGGGACAGCTTGGAGAACGGCAGAATTAGGATGGGGATGTTGCTGATAAATCCGAGGTAGCGGTTTATGAAGAACCAGTATGCGCTCGTCGTCTTCCGGCGCCGCCAGAGGTGGTGGGCTTCCGCATCTACGTGAAGGTAGTCCGGTTAGGTGCGTTCGGCGGGAGTGATCCGCGCGTACCTAGCGTAATGAGGTGGTCCCAGTAGAGGAACGCTTTTGCGGTCGATGAGGGGCGGATGAATGAGAGGATAATTCAACTCACATATCCCGAGGAGGTGGCAATAATCCTGCAGGATTCTGTGGGCAAGCCAATGAGTAAGCACGGACATCATCGGAGAGGGTGGAGATGTGACATTTCTTGGGCCAGCGTAACGTCTCCATATTCCATGGGATGGGAGGAGCGGGCGTAGATGAGGGGGGGGAGCAAGTGCGAGGCACTTTATATATATATATACAGTCCGGTGTCACGCCTGTCGTGAGCATACCCATACCCACGTCAGATAGCTGCATACCCAGAAGAACCGGACAGGCAAAATTGAACTAAAATTGACCGGACGTCTCGCGGACTTACAGTAAAAATTCCGAGAACCGGTACCGCTGGGCAGGCATGATGAATGAAGTGTTACGACAGAACTTCCATCGCGTGAGATTGTTTTGTATTGCGGAGCGCCACACAATCTATCGCGCCCAATAACGAATAAATATCCTTTTGGCAGGGCGGAGGGTACCCAAGTGACCGGTGCCATAAGGGAAGGCCTTTCGTCGGTCAGTGCGAAGCAAGAGAAGGACTCCGGACGGTGTCGGCTGAGGTCCAGACGGGCATAGACGCGTGAGATCCTGAAGGCCGTAGGAGTGGTGGGCACGTCTTGTCCCGAATCAGATATATTGGCCAGTTTCGCTTGGGTTATGTCAATGGGGTTCGAGTGGGTTTGCAGGCCGCAGGCGCCTTAGGCGATACGGTAGGCGTCGCTCTGCTGTGAGCCAGACGAGCGAGAATGAGGGATGGGAGTGGGAGAGGAGCTCCAGCGATGGACAGGACAAGCCAGTTTCTTTCCAGACGTCCAAAACGAGTATTGAGGGAGCTTCGGAGAAGTGGGACTTGTGAGGTGAAGAACGCCATCGGATCAAATAATGATCTGAATCGACGATGGCGGATCATCCCGACGCGCCTGTGGGTCGAAATAGATCCTGAAGGATACATGTTGGGCTCAGTCGCATAGTTCCGTACGCGGCTACGCGACCAGACGGGCCAATAAGATGCATACATTCAACACAAAAGTTTCTATAAATTACTCTTGAAAACTTCCCGTCGCCCACAAAAACGACCCCGATCTCGTTTCTCTCGGTATCTCACTTACGGAGACCACCTGCGCACGAGAAATAAGCACCTATAGCGAGAACAAGGGACTCCACGGACACAGCGGGACCTGGGATAGGGTAGACCTGAGGGGCAGTTTTAATAATGTCGCATGGAACTCACTGCGCTGGGATCTACGATTATAATGAGCTATAAACACACATGCCGAGTAAATGGACCGCTTACTTGTGTAGACATCGAAAATGATTCCTAACATTCAGTGAGAATCAGAAAGGCATGTGGACGCGCGTTGAGGCCGACGTACCGGGGGTAGTCCCAACGTATGCTCCTGCGGTTCACTTTTGAATGTTCACATTGTTACTAAGGGGTGGAGTGCAGTGACTTACCGGGAAAAGCAACCTCCATTCTTCTCTTCAATCTTCAATCTTGAGTGTCCGCGGTATCTTCATTATTATTGTTTTCATCCGGGCTAGTACGCACATTCCTTGCCTAATGTATCTCACTTAACCCACTGAAAGTACATACAGGGAAGGAAGCCGTCGTCGACCAGTGGAAGGTCCTTCTCGAAATGTAAACATATCCGTTGCTACCAGAGAAAGACGGGAGTTCGATTCCTCCCGACGGCATGTGCTTGAAACCCATTTTTATTATTGTTATGGGGTTGTGCGTCCTTTTTTCTGCGCTCCACTTTCAAACTAATATTTGAGGTCCCTCCTCCTCCTCGGGATGATATCCCTTTCCAGTGCTTCTTTTCGCGGCTTATGTACATTCGTTTCTATCGCAGCGGCTTCCGTTCGGGTCGAGGTGTACTCCGATGCCGTGTATACGTCGCCGTTGAATTGGAGGGTTCAATTACTTATGCCTTGGTCGGGGCCAGCACGTCCAGCGCTACAGAACGAGGCCACATTATTATTTTATATTTTAATGAGAGGTGGGATTAATTACAAGAGTCAATATAATACAGGAACCCCTCGTCCTCCGACTACCGAACCACCGGCTTCACAAGCAGCGGCATCTGGTTTCCGGCCGCGAGTTCGCTGAGCACAATTGGGCGCTGCACGATCGCGTTGGCCTTCTTCCCGATGTCCGCTATCGGGACAGCGAGCTCGAACTCGAGCCCGCGAATCAGCGTGAACAGCAGCGCTTTCGTCTCGACCAGCGAGAATCGCCAGCCTATGCATGCGCGGGGGCCGCTAATGAATGTCATCATGTCACCCCAGACGCCGGGGATTGCCTTCGATGCTGGATTCGGGGATTCCCAGCGTTCGGGTCTGCCGGAGTGAGATGGGAGTTGTTTTGGGATCGGGAAGATGGAGGCACGCACACAAACTCCATTGCATCTGGGCCCCATATCCGGGAGTCGCGATTGAGGGCTAGGATCGGAATGAAGACCAGCTCGCCTTTATTGATCCTAGAATGCATGGGTGAATAACGAGCGAGCGAATTGGCATGAGAGGGATCACCTCCAGGTTTCATGGACGGTGCCCTTTGAATCGGTGATTGGCGTGCTCAACGGCACGATATCGTCCTGCATGGCAACCCGACCTAAATTCGAGGTCTCATCAGACGGGCGTCAGAAGAAGACGGAAGTAAGTCGCACTGGTGGCAGGAACAGGTGCATGCACGCGGAGTGTCTCGCGAACTGGAGTCGTCATTCTGAGGATCGAATACATCTCAAAGGAAATCGAGTTGAGCACTGACCGACACAATCGAGATACTTGAGCTCGTTGAGTTCGTCCATGGTCGGGTTGTCTGTTGACACGCCCAAAAGCTCCTCTCTTAGCCGAGTTTGGGCGGGTATGTTCTGCGTGAGTGCGAACAGCGCCCACGTCACCGCCGTACTAATGGCACGCAGATGATTCATGAATCCTTTTGAAATGAGCGGAAGAACTGGAGTACCTCGTGGTCTCATGTCCAGCGACTAGGAATGTTGGGACCTCTGTTATTCGGTTAGCCTATGATTACAGTACATCAGTGGAAGGCCACTCACGGGCGATAACGTCCTCGTCCGATAATCGCTGGCTCTCGGGGATCTCCTTCGACGTGTTGGCCCGTACAAGGAGCGTGAGGAGGTCACGGCCTTGTCCGGTCTCAAACGTCC